AAGATGTTCCTTAAAATCGAAAAGAATACATACTTTCACCACCTAAGTGAGAGTACACATTCAAGAACAGTCCCAACCGGGGACTATTCAAGATTTTCTCCTAATGAGAAAGCCTTGAACGGGTATCTAGGCATATGATGATGCAAGAATTCTATATATTGTTGTATCTATTTGCAATTAAACAATACACAAGTTGCAATATCATGAATAAACTTTTATTAAATGGATAAATAGAAAGAAATATAGCTTAGTAAGGTTTATAAGTCATACCAATATAGCAAGTACAATGGATGTACACTTATGAACTACCCACTTGAGCTTTTAATATGTAGTCCTCAAGCTAAACTCGTGCTTCAATTCACATATGAATCTATTAAAAAAATAATTAGCAACGTCACTAATTCTCTAATTTATTCACAATTCTCTAATTTATTCACAACTAATTAAGTGGTAATATCACTATTTCTCTAATTTATGCACAATTCTCTAATTTAATCACAATTCTCTAAATTATTCACAATTCTCTAATGTAATCACAATTCTCTAATTTATTCACAATTCTCTAATTTATTCACAACTAACTAGTAGCAAGGTCACTAATTCTCTAATATATTCACAATCACCCATTAAAACAACCTAAAATTACACATTAAAACATACAAAAATTCAACTAATTAAGTAACATTTTTACTAATCTCTATTATATTCAAAATTACTCACTAAATCAACCTCAAAATAACCCATTAAAACATACAAATTTTTCAACTAAGGAACAAGGTAATGCAAAATTACTATAATCTATAATATGTATTCAAAATTACTCTAAACATACAAAATTACTCTAATATATAATATGTATTCAAAATTTCTCAATAAACAACCAATGCAAAAATTAAAAAAAATTAGGATAAAATTATATTCAAGCCTTGACTTTAATTTGCTTAACAATAATTGTTCAAAATGCTATTGAAAATAATATAATTACATATTTCAAAATAATTGTTCAATTTTTAACAAAAAAAATTAAAACTTACCCTAAACTAGTTGGAGGTGGAAGAAGCTAAGGGGAGGAGAGATTGAGGATGACCCTCGGTGGTGGAGGTAGCAGCGGTGGTGCGCATTGGTGGACACAGCGCAGCGGTGGAGTGGTGGAGGCGGTGCGCACTGGTGGAGGCAGCAGCTGTGGTTTTCGGACCTCATACCTTGAAAGAGAAAGAAAGGGGAAAGAGAAGGGCATGGGAGAAAGAGAAGGGCGGTGGTATTCGACCCTCCGACAATGCTAGTGGGCGGTGAAGGTGGCGGCTGTGGTGGAGGGAAAAAGGGGGAGGGTTTCTCACTTGATGTAAAAGTGAAGTCGGGGAAGGAAAATGAAAGGGTAAGAGGGAAGGAGAAGGTAAAGGCGGGTTTTTTTTTTTAAAAGCACCGGTTCATTTGGCACCGGTTCAAACCGGTGGCCTTTCCATTTTTGCCACCGATTCAAATTGAACCGGTACCATATGTCTATCCCGGTTTAAAGCTGCTTCAATCTTAGCCTTTTTGCCACCGGTTTGCCTTGAACCGGTGGCAATATAGGGGTGCCTTTTTCAAATTTTCTACTAGTGTTAACACAAAAAAATAATGGTTAATCTACATATATTAATTAAGTGATTCTCTGTTAGCATCCTAATTTTGATTTAACTATCTCCACATTGTTGTAGTGGAAAAAGGTTGTGATTAGGGGTGTTCAAATCCGGGTGCCCGGGTTTTCGAGTACCCAAAAATCCGGGTACCCGGGTTTTCGGGTACTTGTTAGCGTGTCCCGACCCGAATAATCCGGGTACCCTGATTATTCGGGTCGGGACATGGGTACCCGGATCTGTTTTTCATTTTTTTAAATAACTTTTTACATAATATTATGTATTTATCCCTGCTGTAATTTAATTTATTTTAATAAAAAACCTGCTGTAAAAAAAAAAAAAAAAAAAAAAAAAAAAAAAAAAAAAAAACCTACTGTAATTTATTTTAATAAAAAACCTGCTGCATTTAAAAAATAAAAAAAAACCTGCTACCTTTGACTGCCTTGAGTACCTGCTACGTTTAAGTAACCTAGTAACCTGTTTTAACATATTAAAATACATGTCTTAACATAATTAAAGTACTAATTAAAAGCTAAAGTTTAGGGGAAGTCATTAGTTACATAATTCTAAACATACAAAGTACAGAGTACAATAATATAACAAAGCCACAATGCAAATTAAATAAGCTTGGAGGTCCTATTTCTGATAAGTGACTTTTATGTCACTTTTAGGGTGTTTATTAAGTCGCTTTCCGGCTTATTTTCCAATAATTTAACTCTTTTTATCCTTTATTTCTATTATTTTCTTATTCTTGTCTTTTGTCTTTTATTTGAGTGTTTTGGTAATTTTTAGTGTTTTTGTGTTTAGTATCTTTATTTGATTAGTTTTAGTTTATTTTCGTAGTTTTAGTTAATAATTTCCCTCTTCTCTCGTTTTATTTATTTTCTTTAGTTTCTAGCTTGTTTTATTTTATTTTTTTATTTCATTTAATTTTTTTATTTCTTTAGTTTTAGCATTTTATTTTACTTTATTTATCTTATTTTATTTTACTTTATTTATCTTATTTTATTTTATCTTTTGATAATCCCCTCGTGTTGTTTTTGGTTGTAGGTGTTTTCGGATCCTTGGTCGATCGGGTTCAAGGTCCGAGAATTGAGTCAAACAACATGCTCCAAGCTCTCCTAACTGCAATCAACCACTAAGTTCCCCTGCTCCAGCAATAACAGCACCCACCATCTCCTCCACACAAAGCGTCACAGCCACGCACCTGGCAGCCACCATCACCCACCAATTCCACTTCCTCACTATCCTACACCACCCCAGCTGCAACAGCAACATCAACAGCACAACAACAACCCCTGCACCACCGTCCACCAAAACCCACACCAATCAACCACCAATCACCACCACAACAGCCATCACCATTTCCCCTGCTCCCTCACGCACTCCATCCATCAGTCACCACCAAACCACTCACCAATTAAACCCCTCAACTCATAGCAGCAAACCACCATAAACAACCATCCATCAATCCAACTCCACCAGCCACCGCATCCTCACAGCACACCACCTCTGCCACCATCTCCTCCTCACTAGCCCACAACTCCACCAATTTTACTCCCCTGATTTCCCTCTCCTCTTCTCACCCTCACGCAACAACAACCACCCGAACTCACCTCCAATATACCACCGTCAGCCACCAAAACAACAACAACAATTGCAGCCCGCAATTCGCCCAACACCCAAACCACTCACCAATTAAGCCACGCAACTCACAACAACCCAAACTCACAGAGCAATCAATTCGCGGCCGCGCATCCCTATCAGAAAGCGCACAAATTGGAGTCCAAAATAATAGTTGAGGCAGTAGCTTTGCGCGACCTATGCGCGATGTCTTCGCGGGCGCGCATTTCTGGGTTCATATTGAACCATATCACGAGCTTCGCACGTGATTTTAATAAAAATCGGACGGCTGCGATGTGATGATGCTTGATGATGATAATACTAATTGAAATTGATGAGCGGTGGTGATGATGGTTGATGATGAGCAACCACGAAGTGAATTTGGGGGAATTAGGGGTCTGATGCTTTTCGTGGGTTTACATCTTTTTTTTTGTTTTCCTTTTTTTTTCTTCTTTATTTTAGTTTTGTTATGTAACTAGTTTATTTAGTTTTCATTGTATTTTCCTTTTATTTCAACTTGTATTATAAATACCCCCTTTGGGGTTATTTTCTCTTAACTTTTAATCAACATTATTTTACCTAGTTTTAGAGTAGTTTAGCATTTTTTTCTCTCTCTTAGGGTTAGATTAGGATTTTCTCTCTCTAGTTTAGGAGTAGTTTTAGAGAGAGAAAGCTTGGATTTCCATAGAGTTTTTGAGAGGTTGAAGATGCAACTTTGTGGAACTTCTTCTCATCTATTGTGCTTTCAATCAATTGTGCTAATCGATTCTATGCTTTTAATTGTGCTTTCAATCAATTGTGCGAGAGTGAGTTGGTTGAGAGCCCTAAATTCTTCCATACCTTTACTAGGCTAGTTGCACGAGAGTGAATTAGTTTAGTAGGATAATTAACATGCTTAATTGTGCGAGAGTGAGTTAAATGTGTTGATGTTCCTAATCGAGGTCATTTTCATCTAATTGTATGATGTTGTTGAATGCATTGATGTTATTGGATTCCACTTTCCCTAATTTTAGTTATTTGCTCTTAGTAGTGTTTGGTTTAATCTCTCTCTATCTCACAACCTTTCCTACTAGTCTAATTTGCACAAATTGATACACTTAGTCTTGGTGGTTCGACCCTTTACTTGCCACTAACTAGTTTAGTGTAAGTTTAGGTATTATAAATTTCTAATTTGGTTAGGGTTAGTAAAACAACGATCTACTCTTACCCGCGATCAGTTTCATTCACTTGTGAGATCCGAAACTTCAGTTATCTCATCAATAATAATTGTTGGTAGCTCCAAAACCAAGTCTTTTGTTCCTACAAAACCAAATAATGCAAAACAATAATTACACATCAAATATATTATGTATAACATAGTAAAATAAAGTAATAGATAAAGTTAATTAAATCACCTTCTTCTTCCATACTTTCCAACTCAAGCAAGCTTTCCTCTATAGTAATAGGGACACTAGAACTACGCACCCATCTTGACCACAAACAAGAGCTTCTACCATTTTTGTGCTCAAAGAAGTGCGAAAGGAATCTAGAACACGTCCTCCCGTGCTAAAAGCGGACTCGGAAGCAACGGAAGAAACCGGAATAGCAAGAATATCTCGAGTCATAGTCATAAGTATTGGGTATGTTTTTCCTTGTCCACTCCACCATACCAAAATATCAAAATCTACATCACTAGGCTCTAATTTATCTCCTAATACTTTTCCAATTCGGTCATTCCTTTGGAAGATTAATCATTCCCACTCTCCCTTACAAAACTATCCCTTAGCCGAGCGCAAGATTAGTAGAAGATGACTCTACTTTTTGTGCATAAGATTCATATAATGAATTGAATGCATCTTGAATGCGTTGACACAAAGTATAGGAACTACTAACATCATAAGAATTACGCACAATGTGCTCCGTATACTTCATATTATTCCTAGGATCAAGAATCAATGCAATGAACATCAAAATATTAATATTATGAACATTTGCCCAATACTTGTCAAATTTCAACTTCATTTGTTTTGCCATTTTCTTCACATCATCATTTGGGTCACTAACATAGTCATATATTGTGTACCCAATATCATAAATCTCTTCCACAAAAGTATTTCCCGTCACATAATGGGATCCGGACAACTTCAAAGTAGCATTATAAAAAATTTCAAGAAAAGGCAAGAAACTTTGAATTTTATCCCAATCCTCATCATCGGGAGCACCCCCTACCGGTTGCTTCATATGCTCTTTAGTGTAAGGAGAGAACTTTGTTTTCATATTCTTAAAGGCTTTCCTAAACACTAAAGCACTCTTAAGCATCAAATAGGTGGAATTCCACCTTGTTTCAACATCTAGGCAAACAAGACCTTTGGAAGTGATTTTCTCCTCTTCAACACAAGACTTGAACTTTTGAAGCCTAGAAGGAGAAGACCTCACATATTTCACAGCAGCTCTAACTTTTAAAACAGACACATTCACATCTTTTAAGCCATCTTTGACAACCAAATTCAAAATATGTGCGGCACATCTCATATGCAAAAAATCAGAATTCAACACACACCCATCCCAAAGATTAAAGAATTTTTTCAAGTATTTTATAGCTAAATCATTTGAGCTAGCATTGTCAACTATCACATTTAAAACCCTTTTTACATTCCATTCTAACAAACAATTTTCAACAGATTTACCAATAAGCTCCCCAGAATGACCAGAAACAGGACAAAAGTTAATGATCCTCTTATGTAATTTCCAATTATCATCAATGAAATGAGCAGTAAGACACATATATGACAAATTTTGACTCGATGTCCATGTATCTGTAGTAAGACATACTCTAGATGAAAAATTATTGAAAACATTCATTAACTCCTCCCTTTTTTCAATAAAAAGACCATAACAATCCCTTGTAATTGTAGCACACGAGGGAGTAACAAATTCAGAACAAGCAACTTTACAAAACTGACGAAAACATTCACGTTCAACGAAAGCAAAAGGCAGCTCATCTACAATCAACATCTTAGCAAGTGCTTTTCTAATCTCATCATAATTATATCTCCACAATTTAGGAACACTAACGGTCTGAACAGTCCCATCAGTATTAATTTGTGTCCTAGACTCAAAATCTAAGATTGTTTGAGTTTTATCTCTGTAAAATGGAGCTTTTTTACACCTTTCAGTGTGTCGCTTCATGCCATTAGTTCCATTTACACTTTTACAACCAATTTTTGTTCCACAATAAACACATTTAGCATGATCTACATCATTTGCAAGCACTTGAAAGTGTTCCCAAGCATCAGAAGTTTTTTTTCTTCTTACCTCCATTGTTTTCGGCTTTTGGTTTTTTCCCCACTCTCTTCTTCTTATGCCATGTTTTCGGAGCCTTCTCCAAAATTTCTGCCTCATCACTATCATCAGATTTTTGGTTCCCAACTGTTTCATTTGAATTTGTCACCATCATGTCATCTGAATCTGACATTTTCTGGTAAAAAAACATACATACATACACTGTCAGACAAATCAGTCCATTCATTTTAGACTGAAAATTACATTGTATACTAATCACTTAATCTGTCAATGCCTAAATACCGAAATCATAATCTATATATTATCTTGAAACTAAAATTCAAGTCACACATGATAATTTAATCATCAAATAATGAAATAATTCAAAATAATTAAACATAATTCGTGCAAATCAACAAAAAATAAAAATAAAAATAAGGATAAAAAAGAAATAATGAAATAATTCAAAATAATGCAACATAATTCGCGCAAATGAGCAAAAAAATAAAAATAAAAATAAGGATAAAAAAGAATTCGAGCATGTATGAATATGTCATCTAATTAATCACCATAATACACTATCAATTAGCACGAAATACACTATCAATTGGATTACCACAAATTACAACGAAATTAAAATAGCATGAGAATAGAAATTACCTAGACTGAAGCCTTGAAATCGCTTGAAGGGCTTGATCTAGTGAAGGGCAGGAAGAAGAAGGCAAGAAGCCAAGAAGAATAAGCAGGAAGAGAGAGAGAGGGGCACAGAGAGAGAGAGAGAGAGGGGGTGTAATCCCCCGTATTTTTAAATATATTATAAATGAAATTATATTTTATTTATAATATTTAATTGTATTTTTCCGGAATTTAATTTCAAAAGTTTCAAATTATTTTGGGTGAAATTTTTTTTTTATTACAATATGATTTTTATGAACCATCATTCTTTAATTCATGTCCAAACAATCAAAGTCAATCTCACTTTACATACTTGATTGACCCATTAATTTTATGAGGCCCAATCTTACAACTTGCCCTACACCACTCTCTCTCCTATAAATACCCCATACATCCCCAAATTTTTCCCCACACAAAAAGGTTAGTAAACTCTCTTCTTTTTATTTTATTTCTTTATTATTTTTCCCTTATTTTTTCTTTTCTTTTCTTTTCCCTTTTTCTTTTTTTTCTTTCTTCTCCTTTTATACATGAGCCATGCTCACCCATTGCTGCCGCCCCTTATGCCGCCCAGCCACCACCGGCGCCCCTCACCACCGTGGCCCACTCCCCTTTCCTCCTCCTTTGTTTTTTTTTTTTTTTTTTAGTTTTACTTAGAATTGATTTAATTATTTTGGGTTTTGATTTGTAGTATAAAGATTATATTTTTAGTATCAAAATCATGTTTTTGATAGTTTAATGTTATAAATTTCAGATTTTAATTATGTTATAAATTTTCAGATTTTATGAATTATAAACCTAGGGTTTTAATTTAATGAAATTGGGATTTTAGGGTTCTTATAATCAATTAATGTGGGGCTTTTGTTCCTATTGTATTTCTAATAATTAATTAAGCATAAAAACATGTTTTTAATGAAGTTTTATGGAATTTTAATCAAATTTATATTGCTGGAAATTTGTTTAAGTATTAATTTGTGATTATTGGTTGTTTTCTAGGAAGTGATTATTCCCTAGGAGACTTTTAATTGATTAAAAGTGGCACAAAGGATTGTTTATATGAAGTACGTACATGTCTACTTCGTTGTAAGTAGTATCATGTTTAGGTACCAAACAAAAGAACTTAGTTTCATGATTAGAGAACACTTGGATGGAAATTGTTTGGTTATACATTTGATTTATGCATGTGCTTATATTTATGAGACATGTTTTGGTGAATTGATTATGTTTGTATGGAATTATGGATGCAAGCATGTTGAATTATATTGGATTAATTGTTTGTATGGAATGTTGATACAAGCATATTTTTATTGGATTGGTTTGTTAACCACATTTGGATTATTAAAGGATTGGAATTGAATGGTTTAAGTGGAATGAATTTATTAATTATTCCACAAGGTTATTATTATTTTATTTATTACTCAAGCATGACTTGTTAGTATGTTGAGTAAAAGTGGATTAAGCCGAAATGGCTAGATGGGTTGACTATGTTCAACAATTTGGATAATTTGAAAGTTTAATGGATTTAAAGGTCAATTTATGATGTGATCACCATTGTCTTAAATAAGATTAAAAGTGAATTGATGTATGATTTTTATGTATGTTCTACTTGATTGAGTCGGCTATTAATTAAATTTGTAGTCACGTAAAGTGAAACATAGATGAGCAATAAAACTCTGGAAAGTGTGCACTTCTAGAGTATTGACAATTATGGACGGTGGTAGCCCGTGGCTTTCCGAGGCTTGTTTGATCAACATATCCTCTTCTCTTTTGGTATTTACATTTTTATTTTATAATGAAAGTTAGATGGGATCCTAGACTAACTTTGTGATAATGGAGTCGCGCCCATTCTTGCATTGCGCTAAACTTTTATTTTAAATGGTCATTTGGGACCAAAATGATTTGGTGGATTGGACAACCTCGTCAATTGCTTACTCTAAATTAAATTAATTAAATTAAATATAAAGAGTCAAGTGTTTGGAAAGCAAGTATGTTGAGTCGATTGAATTGTTTAAGTGTGGAGTCTTGATTACTGAATTCGAGTTGTATATTTATTTACTTTAACTAGTTGAGCATGCTAGGTTTTGTGCGTTGCAGCTTGTATGTACTCAGCTTTGTTGATTGCGTGCTTTTGTGTGTTTTCTTTTGGTCATGGCCTTCGCCTTTCAATGACCCTGTGATGATCCAATTATTACACTTGTACTATTGGGGAGCAGTATGCACATGTTAGCTTGATGATGTGAAGTTCAGGGATTTGACATACGCATTGCCAAGGGATTGGTGTGATTGAGAGTATTTGTTCTTTGTGTTGAACTTATTTATTTTTTACTATTCTAATTATGTTTTGGGATTTTGATTATTGGTTTGGTTTTAAATAAGGGCCTTTATGGTTCCAATTTGTAAGTTTTGACTTATTAGTTTTCTAAATTATATTATTTTAAGATTTAAGTTGGATTTCCGCTGCAATACTTTGATAAAGCCTTAACATTTTAACACGTGGCGGTAACATGCCAATGGTTCTCCTCTATTTTTATTTAAAGTAAGTGGTTTGGAAAAGGGAGAATTATTGGGGTGTTACAGAGGGGCAGGAAGAAAGAGAGAGGAAGGAGGAAGCGGCGGAGAGAAAGAGGGGAAAGAACCCTAATTTCGTGAAAATTAGGCTGGGGGGCTGGGCTTTGGAACCTGACCGTCTGACGAAGTAAGGAGTTTGAGGGGGTAAATTTTTTTTAAAAAAAAATTTAATTCGGGTAATCGGTACCCGTTTCTGAAAAAATCCGGCCCATGTCCCGACCCGGATTGAAGGCAGTTTTCCCGGTCAGGTACCCGACCCGAAAAAACAGGTTTTTTTTTAAATTCCCATCGGGTATTTTCCGGGACAACGGGTCGGGTTTTTTTTAACACCCCTAGCTGTGATAGCAGCTTGTTGAGGAGGTCTAGATCCTATAAAAAGTGTTGGTGTTATAAGGCAACCCTGATTTGAATGTTCAAGTAGAATTCGAAAATCCAAAAAGCATGTATACAAAGATCTTAAGAAAGTCAGCTACTATAATGAACTACTTGGATTCCTTGTGGAGATCTGCGCGTGCTGGATGATCTGTTGTGTTATGAGGAAGCAAGGGCTGATGGCAGTTTCAGTTGTGATTGGAGGCAGCAGCGGTGTTGTTAGGTGGCTGGTGAATGCAGGCGAATTAGAGTAAAAAGGTGCGGAGGTGGAGTTGCGGAAGGATGCGCGTGTGGCTGCGTTGGCAGATTATGGTGGCAAATTGTGGTGGGTTGCTACTGTAATGGCTGGAGATCGAGGATGAGTGGCTGCTCTGTTCTATTGGTGGTGACTGGTGAGAGTTGGTGTTGCGGTTGAACAGTGGAAAACCAGGGGGATTGTTGACTCCAAACCAAAACTTGAATTCACCCCATTTGAACGTTTTAGCACATGCCTCGAACCCACGAGCATTCGCTTACACAAAACACAAATCTAGGGGAGAAATGGGACAAAATAAAATAAAATAAAGGAAATGGAAATAAAAAAAATAGAAAATAAGAGAAATAAAACTAAAAATAGGATAAATCAAATAAAACACAAACAAATAAACTATGAAAAAGACTCAAAAGTAATTAAAATAAATAAAAGTAAATTAGAATACTTCAAAGAAAATAAGGAAGAAAATAAAATAAATCCAAACCAAATAAAATACGAAAATAAACTAAAACTAATAAAATAAGAAATTAAACTAAAACACTCCAAAAATACCAGATAAATAAGAACCGTTATTAAAGAGAAATAAGAGAATAAAAAAGGAAAATAGAGGAAAATAAATACAAAAATTGACTCTAAAACTACTCCCTAAGAGTGACATAAATGTCACTCATCAACCCTAACCATGTACCAAAATCATCATTCCATGAAAATATGGCCAACCTTAGGCCTTTGCACATATGGACCTACTATTGAGTAGTCATGCCCATATATAAAATGCATGAAGTGATGAGTTATGATTACAAAATCATATTTAAAAAAAATCAAATGATTTGGATGATTTGATAGCCATGGCTTGATGACACCATTTTAGTAAAGCAATCGAATCAAATTAAATTCGATGTTTTCCATATCTTTTGTCAAGAAAAATGAGATGACTATCACTTTTTAAAAAAACAAACATCTTATATTCTTTTAATAATAGGGTTATTTATTACAAAGGTAATTCAAGTTATATATACATTTTCTAGAAAGAAAATGAGTTAATACAATAAATTGATTTGATGTATCGACAGCCTTGACGTCAACTTTAGATTTCTTTTACAACTCTTGAGCATTGGTCTTCTCACTTATCATGAGCAACTAATATATTCGTCTGCGTAGGATATCTCCATCTTCTCTAATAAGCAGGAACATTCATTGAACATAATCACTACATTAAAAAAATGATCGTTATCAATATTACACGTATACCTCACTGCCAAGTCATCACAATGATTCAACTATTAAGTCAATAATTCTTGCTTTCGAAAACATGTCTGATTCTCTTTCTTATTCTTCTACGGTAAGTTTGATTCCCCTTCCTTTTTATGCAAATCCGTCTTTTTTGTTTCATTTCTTTTTTGAGGGGTAAGTCAGGATTATCCCTCCTATTTGGCAACTAAAATACTTGAAAAATAGTATAGTTTTTTTCGCTCTTTGCCTCAAACTGGGGGATAAAAAAGCCTGGACATCCCTACTTCTCTCTATTTACAGATTTGAGCATGCTATTTGTGCTACGAAATCAATGTCATGCAAAGCTTATTACGAACCATCTTAATAACTTTAAATGACAAAGGGATTATTTGACCAAGATGATTAATTATGTTACTTGATTAAACAGTTCATGATAAACATATGCAATATTCCACGAATTAAAAATACAAATCTTGGGGCTTCAAATAAACATGAAAAATATCCCTTAGCATGTGTATACGTGAATTGCAAAATCCACCTAAGGTTAAACTTGGGGGCTACCAAAATATAGGTCTCACCT